GGGATGCAGTGGGAATGGGGTTCTGGACAAGGGGTGAGATAGGGATGGGGTACCAGGGAGGGGGTGCAATGGGGAAGGGGCACAGAGAGGGGGTGCAATGGGGACGGTGCAGGGACGGGGTGAGCAGGCTCTGGTACCACAGCTGAGCAGCCCCATTGCTGAGGGGATGCAATGGGGAGATGGGGGGGTTGAAATTCGGGGGCTGCAAGAAGGGGAGTCGCTGGAGGGGGTCTTGCAATGGTGGGGGTGTGACTCAGGCAGGGGGAGTTGCGACGGGGGGGTGCCCAGGCATGGGGGGCTGCAATGAGGGCAGTCATAGGAGATACCCAGACATGGGGGGGCTGCAGTAAAGGGGTGTTCAGGTATCAGGGGGTGGCAGTAGGAGGGATACTCAGGCATGGGGGCTGCAATGGGGGGGCCACAGGCAACACCCACGCACAGGGGGGTTGCAGTAGGGAGTGCCCAGACGTGGGGGGACATAATGGGGGGGGCCATGGGGGACCCCCAGGCACAGGGGCTGCAATGGGAGGGGACACTCCAGCTTTGGGGGTTGCCATGAGGGGGGACAGCCCAGCATGGGGCTCGCAGGGGGGGACACACTGGGCTCTGTGCCATTCTGGAGGGGGGGCCAGGAGCCCCCCAAACCCACCTGCTCCTTCTCCTGGTGGGTGGTGACCTCTCTCCGCTGCTGCTCCAGCTCGGCCGTGGCCTCGTCCAGGCTCCGCTGGAGCCCCGCCAGCGTCTCTGCCAGGGCCGCCCTCTCCTCCTCCTGCAGGGCCAGGGCCTGGGGGGACACGGCTCAGCCGGGGAGCACGGAGCAGGGACAGGGCCGGGGGACACTGGGGACACCCACCTGCTGCTTCTCGCTCTGGTGCTGCTGCCGCAGTGCCGCCAGCTCGGCCACCAGCTCGTCCTGCTCCTGCATCAGCCGGCCCCGCTCGGCCTCCAGCTCCTCCTGGGAACAGCACCCGGGAACACCAGCCGTCACCAGGGAACCCCAACAGCACCAGGGAACCCCAACAGCACCCAGGAACACCAGCCATCACCAGGGAACACCAGCCATCACCAGGGAACACCAGCCATCACCAGGGAACCCCAGAAGTCATGAACAAACCCCAAAAAAATCACCATCAAACCCCAAAATTACCAGTGAACCATGGAAATCATGAACAAACCTCCAAAACCACCAAAAATCAGCATGCATGCCAAAAATCAGCATTATACCCCAAAAATCACCAGTGAACCCCAGAAATCATGAACAAACCCCCCAGATCACCAGCAAACCCCCAAAATCACCGCTGTGCCCCAACAACCAGCACACACATCAGATATCTACAAAGCACCCCAAAAATCAACACTGCTCCCCAATAACCAACATCATGTCCCAACAACCACCACCACACCCCAACTATCACCATCACCCACCGGATCCCTCCAAAATCCCCCCCGGTGCGCCCCAGGAATCAGCAGTGCACCCCAAAATTCCATTTCCGCCCCCATTTCCCACCTTGTGGCGCTGGAGCTGCTCCAGCTGGTCCCGGTGGGCGTCGCGGGCGCTCCGCAGGGTCACCGTCACCGCCGCCGCCTCGGCCGCCGCCACCGCCCGGCGCCGGCACCGCAGCTCCTGCGCCCGCTCCTGCCGCGACACCCCCAGCTCGGCTGGGGGACACCCCGGTCAGGGGGGACACCCCCACGTGAGGGGACACCCCCCAGAAAAGCAGGGACACCTCCCGGGTCAGTGGGGACACCCTCAGTCAGTGGGGACACCCCTATAAGAGGGGACACCCCAAAGGGGACAACACCCCATCAGTGGGGACACCCCCTCCATTCAGGGAGGACACCCCTGGTCAGTGGGGACACCATCCATCAGTGGGGACCGCCCCTCTGATCAGCAGGGACCCCCCAGTCAGTGGAGATCCCCCATAAGAGGGGACACTCCCAGTCAGTGGGAACAACTCCCCCAGCCTTATGGGGACCCCTCCCATAAGAGGGGACACCCCCCAGTCAGTGGGGACACCCCTCACCAGTGGAAACCCCCCCAGGGGACACCCTCCATCAGTGGGGACAGGTGGAGGGGGCTGAGCATGAACATGGGGACGAGGATGAGGATGGGGATGGATGGTGAAGAGGATGAAGGTGAAGAGGGGGATGGATGGAAATGAGGATGGGGATGGATGGGAATGAGGATGAGGATGGGGATGGATGCAGCCAGATGGGGATGAAGACGGGGATGAGGATGAAGTTCTGGATGGGTGGGGGTGAAGATGAAGGCTGGGATGAGGATAAAGATGAAGATCCAGATGGATGGGGATGAGAACAAAGGGGGATGGTAACGAGGATGGATGGGGATGAGGATGAAGATTGGGATGAGGATGAAGATTAGAATGAGGATGAAGACTGGAACAAGGATGAAGATGGATGGGAATGGGAATGGATGGGGATGAATGAAGACATGGGGATGAGGATGAAGATGGATGGGAATGAGAATGAAGATATGGATAGATGGGAATGAGGATGAAGATGAAGATTGGGATGAGGATGAAGATTGGGATACGGATGAAGATTGGGGTGGGAATAGGGATGGATGGGGATTAATAGAGACAGGTGAGGATGAGGATGGGGATGGGGATGGTCAGTGGTGGGACACCCCCGTGGCTGGGCCCCCTCACCCTCCAGCGCCTCCTTGGCCTGGAGCAGCGTCCGGCCCTCGCTCTCCAGCTGCTGGTTCCGGGCCTGGAGCTGGGCCAGCTGTGCCTGCAGCTGGAACACGCTGCTCTCCAGCCCCTCCTTCTCCGACCTGGAACACCGGGAACGCTGCCAGGACAGGCTGGGGGAGCTGCCCTGGCACCCACATCCCCATCCAGCACCCACCTGAAACCAGCACCTTCCCATCCATCCCAGCACCCACCTGAACCTGGAACCTCCCATCCCACCTGAGCCCAGAACTTCCTCAATCCTAGCACCCACCTGAGCCCAGAATCACCCCATTCCACCTGAGCCAGGAACCCCC